CCTAGAATAGACTTTAACAAGGGTACCATCCTTATTTTGCAATCTAATCTTGATTTATAGTTCTTCTATTCTTTTACCTCCAGAAAAAAGCCAATTAAATAGCCTATTTTGTGCTTGATAATAGAGTTTGAGTTTCCATTTTATGTACTTAAACAAATGGAAAAGACACATTATGAAATTTTACTGTGCAACTCTCATTGGAAATTATGAGGGAATAGACATTAATTAATGAAAAATGAGACCTTTGCCTGCTAATTTTGTGATAAAACATTCCAATAAAAATCATTTGTCATCTCCATGAACGAACATGATACAAGTCAAGATAAACCTAACAGCCAAGCAAAAGGGCCTAGTCCTTGCCAACTGGAGGTGTGCATGAAGACTCTAGAGTTAGTTGGCCTGTTCTGAAGCAGAAACACTGTGAGGTCGGTTTTCAGCTGCTCCAAAGTCAATAAAGTTATGCCTGTGAAGTGACACACCAAAATAGACAACACTGTGAATAGACATTTTGGCATAAGTGCCTTTTGGGCAGAGGCCAAAAGTGCTGTCCACTTAAATAGTTATTTACAAAATGCCACTGGAGCATATCTTTTGAAAAACAAAACAAAACACAAAACAACTTCATCCTTAGATATAGAGAAAGCACCGCTAAGGATTGATCAAGCTGGAACCTGACCTCGCTTTTCACTCTGCATGGATAGGATTTGTCAATTCTGTCTATATAATTCACTTAACCCAATGCACTAACATTTACCACAAGGCAAACACTGTGCTGGGTCCTGTTACAAAGATGTATCAAATGAGCATGATCTTCGCTTATTCATAATGATAATGGGATGGAGGAAGTTAAATGGAGAATATATAAGATATAAATGAATAATCATGAGGAAAAAGATAGAGACAAAGGCACAGCACACAAAGAATCCCTCCTATTGCCAAGGGAGAGGTCATGCTTTTGGCTCTACAAATGGTATTTAAAATAACAGACTTTATTCCCTCCTGAAAACCTGTTAGTAAAACCATTTCAGTAAATGGCCATCCCATACGCCCAATTACTCATGTCAGAAATCTACGTGCCCTCTTCAGTTTTCTTTTCTACCGCCTCCCATACTCAATGCCTCAGCAGCAGCCCTGGAAACTTGACCTGTCAACTAGACCCTGAACCCATCTACATTTCTTCTCCAGTTCAAGCGCTCATCGCTTCTCATCTGAATACCTGCAACAGTTTGCTAATTTCCACGCAGGAGGCAAGAAATATATATATATATATATTTTAGAAGTATATATTTTAAAAACATAAATCTCTCACGCAAAATCTTCTAACGGCTTTTCATTACATGTAAAATAAGACCTAGTCTTTTTTCTCATGACCTTCATGATCTGATTCTCCACACCCTCTCCAACCTGCATGCAAACCCCCTCCATCTCCATCCTGTGCTCCAACCAAATTCACATGCTTTTAGTTTCTGGAATGTGCCAAGTGTTTCCAGATCTCTGCCTTTGCCTGTGATGTTAACTCAGTCTGGAATGCTCAACCCTCTTCTTCACAGAACTGCTTATAATTCAGGTATCAGCTCATATATCATCACCTTGGAGAGGCCTTTAAATGATTTCCCCATGTAAAGTAGACCCCTCTGCTCCCTCAGAATTTCTATTTCACAGTAGAAGTCCAGTTATTGAATAGTTATGTGAAGTTATATATTTGCTTTTGGTTTTGCTTGCTTTTTAATATTTGTGTCCTTTAAATAATAATAATTAAAAAAACCACCTCACTGTTGAGTTGATTTGTACTCTCAGCAACCCTAAAGGACAGGACAGAATTTTCCCTATGGGTTTCCAAGACTGTAACTCTTTATGAGAATAGAAAAGCTCATCTTTCACCCTTGGTGGTTTCAAACTGCTGACTTTGCAGTTAACAGCCTAATGGGTAACCACTATGCCACCAGGGCTCCTGTGTATCCCATGGAGACGATGAATTCCATGATACACGGTCTATTATTCACCAGAACCAAGCATAGTAGCTGACACATAGCAAGAGCTAAGTAAATGTTTGTTGAATGAATGAATAAATGAATGAAGTTCTCAATCAATTGCCCCACATATTCAGCCCAACCCACTGCCATCAAGTCCATTTTGACACATAGCGACCCCATGTAGGGTTTCTGAGGCTACAAATCTGTTCAGGAGCAGATGGCCTCATCTTGCTCCATGGACATGTTCAACAGAATGGCTTAAATGGTAAGGTACAGTATTCAGATTCTCTCTGCAGCACTGGCCTACCTGTTCTGGGAGAATTATGCTCCGAGGACAACATGAAAAGGAAAAAAGTAACAAACTTGGGGACCAGAAGCTTGGCTTCCAGTCTTGTATTTTTCTTGTAAAAACTCGGGTAACAAGTGGCATAGTGTATAAAAAGAAGTACATCAAGGGATTAAGACACCAGGCTCTAGAGTCATTAACACCTGGCTGTAAGTCCTGTAGTCATCAATTATTAATTAATGAAGTGACTTTGGGGTCTGTTATTTAGCATGTCTGAGAGGACTTTTCTCCTATAATTGCTTGGCATTTGAATGTAAATTTCTAGGCACAGTGTCCAGAGTATAGCAAGTGCTCAGTCAATGCCTGCTATTAATATTCTAGGTTGACAGCTTCCTCTGATATATGACAGTTGCCTCTGACAGATCTTCTGATCTCTATATGATAGATTTAGGAATTCATGTTCCTAATGGTAGGATTAAACAAGTGAAAGATGGGAAAGATATCTGAAAGAGTAGAAAACAAAACCTGTAAACTGTGAAAGCTAAGATTATGACATCAACAATTACTGAAGGGCTTTACTACATATTATAATAGATGCTGAGCCATAGCAGTGAACAAGGTACTACATGCATCTTTAAAACGGTTAATTTCTCATAAAGGAGACAGTTAACTACAGCGGTAATTCGAGTACTGAATAAAGAGTTCTTAGGGCTATTCTAATGGATGTTACTTGAGTTTATGCAGAAAGCATGTGGTATGGTATGGAAAGGGGAAAGAGGACCAATCAGAGATGGCTTCCTAAAGAAGCCAAAGTTCTTTGAAGAAATGGAAAGGACCAGTATCAGCCAAGAGAAAGGCAGAGACCAAGAGAAAGAAGAGCATCTGCAGAAGGAGGGGCAGCTATGAAGACCCATGTTGGGAAAAAGCATGATGCTACTAGAGTTTGATACACCTGCAGTAAGACTGTCTGCAAACACAAGTGGTAATTTACCAGACAGTTAAAAAAAGAAGGTGAAATTCATATCTTGTCTTGAAATACTCTTACAAAAGTGTGAGACACTATAATTTCTGAGGCAAATGAGTCTCACTGTTTCTGCATTTCATTGTGGAGGGTACTATTTCTTCAGTATTATAAATCCAGAGGTTATTTGGATAACGTACAATTTTTTCTGGATACTGAATACTAAATTATATAGAATTAATGAATGAGCTAATTGTCCAGCCTTCCACTTCATTCTGCCTGTGTATACACTTCAAGTGGGATAGGAAAAAGAAATAGATTCCCTTGTTGTTTATATTTACTTAAATCCACATTATATTCCTGTTGAAATTAACAGATTTCTCATTAATTTTTCAAAATGGATCCATTGGTTTAGTTCATTTACAAATGAGGAATATACATGTACCAAATATAGAAAGCATTAAGCCCTTTAAAAATTTCACTTAGACAATCAACATTACCCGCCAATTGCATAACATCTTTTCGCACTTATCCTGTAATCACCGAAGGTAGAAGTGACAAAATCACTTAGAAAACTCACCATCATTCCTTAATGTTAGTGGTGTGGGCGGCCCCAGAACCTTGTGATTGGTTATAGTGTTGGTAACCACACAGGTATAATTCCCAACATCTGATTTCTCTACTTTGGCAATATACAGATTTCCAGTCTCTTGAGAAACAAAGCGACGATTATCCTGATAGGAAGGGTATTCATTGAAGATCCAGGCATAACTCAGCTCTGTAAATAAAAGGAAACTTCATTATGACTAAAACTTTTGACATTGAAAGTTTACTGTATTCATGAAATATATGGTTAAGTTAGAAATCCATACTGGTGCCCAATGACCCTTTTAGTCTGCTAAATTGAAATAGGAAGCAAACTTCAGTATTTAAATATTTTTATTACTCTTTTTCTCATTAGTAAATATATTAGGTTTTATTTTTAAAGAACTAGAAGATTCACCCACAGTTGTTTAAGGGTTTTAAATAAGCACGTATTATATGTTAAACGTGTATCATCAACTGATGTATTGCATTGAGAAAATTTATAAAGATTTAAAGAGCAAAATTATCACTTTGAAACTAATGTGTGCCTGAACCAACCCATAGTCTTTTTAATGGCCTATGTGCATGCAAGAGCTGGACGGTGGAAAAAAGGAAAACAGATGCAGAATTGATGAATTAGAATTGCGTTGTGAAGTAATTCTGAATATACTGTGGACTTCCAGAAGAATGAACAAATTGGTATTAGAAGAAACACAACCAGAATGGTCCTTAAAATTGAGGATGGTGAGATTTCAGCTTTCAGCACATACAAGCAAAAACAATTGCTAGTAAAGGAAGCCATGTTTGGTAAAGCAGAGCATTAGCAAAAACAATGGAAACCCTCATTGAAATAGCTTGGAATCATAACGATGGACCCAAACATACCCACCATCGTGGAGATAGACAGGACTGGGAAACATTGTGTTCTGATTTAATATATATATATATTGTTCTGACCATTATGTTCTGATTATATATATATTGTTCTGACCATTCAAATTCTTACTTTCTTCCTACTTGTGAGGTTGAATTTACTTTTCAGCTTTTGTGAGGTAATGGTTTATTGTTGTGTTAAATGCTTGTATTGCCTGGCTTATTTAGTCCCCAAACTTAAATCTACACTTTAAAAATTGGCTGAAGAACTATTATATCCATAGGGCAATGAATATGTAGTAGAGGTGAAAGAGCAACATTTTCACAAATACTTGTGCACTGCAGAATATATGCCAGCGGATGAGTATAACAGTCAGTCATACCTGAAGGTGTTCCATTGGACATTCTCGCTTTTCTGAAAACTAAGTAGTTTTGAATGAGCGCATGAGTCAATACTTTCAATTTTGGAAAGTTTCAGTGACAGCAAGCTTAAATAATCTGGGGCCGTGAACCACTGCACTCCAAGGAAATCACACTTTTCCAGCTCCAGACATCCAATGACTTCATCTCCTTAAAATATGCTTTCCCGATTGGTTTAAGGCTGCAAACACAATATACTTACCAATGAAAGACACTTGCCAAGTTGCCCCAGTTTATCAGCCAAAGTTTGATGGGGTAGGCAAAGGACAATTAGATACAGAGGGAATCCCTCTGCTGCAGAACTAGTTAGCCAGGCTTTTGTATAAATGCCTTAAGTGTCCTTGGGAAATGGCAGAAAGAACACTTACGTTTTGAATCATGAACATTAATTACTGTAAAAGGCTTTTTTGTTGTTTAACACTTGAATGAGTCCCAATTGTAATTGACCTCAACAAATGAATGTGAAACACGAAATACATTCTGCCTTCGGATGCCACAGTTTGCATACAAAAGGGTCAGGTGAGCTGCTTTCCCTTCATCATTTGACATTTTTTGGACATTTTTGGACATTTCTACACGCACTATTTTAGATGAATGTAATTATGTTTATATGAGAAGAGCTAATCATTTTATTTACACATGTGCATGTAATAATTATAAGCAACCCATACTGATGTCAAGAGGCTACTCAATATGAACAAGCAAGTGCATCTCAGCAAGCTAGTTACTTCTTCCAGAAACTGAATTCTGGGAGAAGAAAAGCTCCTACAAGTCGTGAAGCAGTATAATCAGCTATCACCATCTATAATGACCAGAGACATTAATTATCTCCAAGCACACAATCTACTACTTCTTACTCACCCAGGTATGTGAGTTTCAGGCAAACTGAGTAATCTCAGAGCATTTAAATGTTTTCATAAGAACAGTGAAAGAACACAGCCCCATTAGCCATAAGAGAGTTTTAAGTATCAATTGCATCTCCAAAGTCACCTGGTCAAAGGTAGAAAGCAATTTACCAGCACAATATTAATCAACCAGTAACTTATTAGGTAGCTAGATAGGGAGTCGTCTCTCTCTCTCTGCCAAGGTGACTCCACAGGAGGTTGCTGCAGAGAATCAGGAGAGCCCAGTCAGCCACAAAGGCTAGAGAGAGAATGCACAAATTCAGGCCATTGAGACAGGAATCCAGTACACCTGGGAGGGCCCCAATCTAGGCCAGGGGAGCTTAATTCAGCCAATGGAGTCAACCAGTACTGTCAACCACACCTCCCAGTGGAGGGCCCTGAAAAGCCACAAACTTCAAGACCACCCCCTCTTCTTTTCCAGCTGCTCCTGAACTGGTCTGGTAGAGGTTTCTCAGGCCTCAGGTTTCCCCATGTGGGTGTGAAGTGCTCTGTGTCAAACCGGAAACTCGTTCTATCCTTTATAAAAACTCACTGGGATCCTAAGCCAGGCTTCTGTGTGAATTCTTTTTAGTATGAAGCCACGGACGGGGGTATTTCTACCCAAGGAATCTAACAACCTCTCCAAGGAGATTTGTACTCAAATAAATGAAACAGTCCTCCCCGCCCCCACCCTGTGCCAGCCTGACATTTCTCAAAATCGTTGTTTCCTTTAGCTAGTGGCTACAAAGTTCCCTGAGTTTGGAGGGAGAAGGCTGGCTCAGGAATTAGAAATTCATACAGACTGTAAACATCTATGAAAATATGCTCCTGCTTGCTTTTTTTTCTAGTTGGAAGAAAGAAACTACAAAAGATCAGAGTTCAAATTTGTGTTATACCCTCTTTCCCTGAAAATAAGACGTCCCCCGAAAATAAGATCGACTTACAGCTTTGCCTCTCACTGAAATATAAGGCACCCCGAAAATAAGACCTCCCCCAAAATAAGGCCCCCCTGAAGCTACTGTAACTCTGGACTCTGGACTGTAGTGGCAGGCACCACCACGCAGCTCACTGTTGGCCGCAGCGCAGCTGGAGCAGACAGGAAGTACGAGGTCTTTTAAATAAAACAATAAATGTGTACCGTATTATTCTTCAAGAAAAATAAGACATCCCTTGAAAATAAGACCTAGCACATCTTTGGGAGCAAAAATTAATATAAGACACTGTCTTATTAAGTGGGAAACAAGGTATATAAAAGGGGAAACGGTATATAAAAGGGCCATTTAAGCTTTCTCACTTTCAACTTCTTAATACATAAAAAGAGGACAATGTAGATACTAAGTGAGAATTTTTGTGTGTGAAGGCAATCTGAAATTGAGATAGCTAGTTTATTGTGCTAGCCTGACCGATAAACACAAGTGGGATTAATTGAAGGGCGGAGAGATAAATGGCTCAGTGAGCCTCACCTTTCTTGTCTCTTGCTCTTTGATCATCAGACCAGTGTGCGGGTGCCTTGCTTGTTCTGTGCCTCAATTTAAAGGCTACACTACTGTGGGACGCCTAGCCTGTGGATTGTGTTGCTGTAAGTTGAGGTCCCTTTTAAGACCACATGATTGAAATTTACATGGGGACTGACAGTTGGTAACCTGGCTGACAGTTGGTGACCTGCCTTGCTATTTGCTGCTGTGCTTCTATTTGCTTTGTGCTATTTGCTTCTGTAGAGAGAGCCTAGCTCTCTCTACAGAAGAGGACCTGGCAGCCCTCAAGACTTGAAGGACTGCTAGCATCTCAAAACTCTCTCACGGGAGTGAGTTGCACTGAGCCATCTGTACAGCTTTATAATTTAACTGTTCATTTCTTGTATTATATATCTATCTATCTGTATATAATTTAACAGTTCATTTCTTGTGTTATATATCTAACTATCTTTGTAAATAAATATATAAAATTATCACCAATCTGGTTTTATCTCTCTAGAGAACCCTGTCTAACACAGAAATGTATCAAGGGCTATCCAGATGTTAGTTATAATTGGTATTTCATTTCACCAGGTTAATCATTTTAAAAGGTACAAAAACATCAATTAGCAATTTTAATCTCTTACAAATAAGTTAGTTACTCCTGTTTCACTGTTCTTGTGTTTTAAATGATTTAGTGCTTTGGTGAGGGATGCAAACTACCTTGTGAGTATAATACAAGCACCTACTGTTCTGTGGGGCTTTGTTTTATGGCTCTTCCCAGACACTGCACTTTTTTTTCCACACAACTGAAGGTTTGTGGTGACTCTTGTCAAGCAAGTTAATCAGAGCCATTTCCTTATTTTTTTTCTTTATGTCACCTGTGCTCATGCTGTGTTTCTGTGGTAGTTTTTCGTAATTTTTCATAATTCTCAGTTTTTGATAATTCTCAGAAAACCACACATTTTAAATAACATTGCTGCATATCTAATAGGTTTGGCAGTTAAATTTTATGTCAATTTGAGAATACCTGCTTGGAGGCAGGGTGGGGTCCAGACTGTCAATCAAGTAAGTGGCAACCTGCTGATGACTCCTTGGGGCTGTGGCCTTTTCTATAAGATAGAATGGGAACTGCTTCTCATTTTGCTTCTTTGTCATCCCGCTCGCTAAGACTCTGTGTCTGTCTCCAGGTACAGCTCCATGTGGGTCACCTAAGCCTGAGAGTTGTGAGTGCCCTGCTATGTTTACACCAACCTTGTATCCAGCAGCTAGCTGCACACTCCTGCCTGTGATCTCCCTGCTTTCCAATTCAAATGTCTGCTTGCTGGGTCATTGGCCTACAACTACGTGAGTGTGAAGAGGCCCCTGACTAGCATTTAACCCACAGACTTGAGTTGGACAGGGCTAGGATGTCTTCTTGATGTAACAAGTGACTTGTTAATATAAAGTTATTTGTTGTGCATAAGTGTCACTGATTTGTCTCTCTAGACAACTCAGCTTAACACAATAGGCTACCTAACAACACCACACTGCCATTAAGTGTTTCCAACTCAAAGTGACTC